GAATTAAATAAAATTAGAAGAATAAAAATAGAGACTTACAAGTGTGTTCAGCAAGGAGTATCACTTAGAACTGGAAAACCAGGGTAAGTATTGCAGAAATTTGCTGACCTGGTTGGGGGATGGTGAGGAGGTAAGTATTAAAAGTAAAACAAAACTTGGAAAATTATAGTATCCAAAATTTGAAGATATGGAATGGATAGAAGGAAAAATACTATATCTATGAAATAATAAATTATAAATAAATATAAATTATATAAATATATAAATTTATAAAAAAATTATATAAAAATTTTATAAATATTTAATATAAAAATTATATATAAATATAAATTATAAATATACATATACATATAAAATAGAATTAAGACATTATAGATAGGAGTACAATGTGAATAAAAACAAAAATGAAAGAAGTAAAACGTACATAGAAGTATAATATATATATGAAAATAAGAGACAATACATTGCAGAACTAATTTAGAAGTATAGAGAGGAAACAAATATGAATAATTATAATTACACTTAGTTGTACATATGTAAGAAAATTACATTTAAATATTAGATAATATTGAGACATAATGGTTAAAAAGTAAAATGAATACAAAGTAAAAACTGATGATCGTACATTGATGTAGAATGTAAATATAAAATTAAAAATAATTGGTAAATGGTTGACTGTCGTGGATAATGAAGAGAAGAATAGTTGGGGTGGTCAGTCAAAAAAGAAGGCAAAAATAAATAATATTTATTTTTGCCTTCTTTTTTGACTGACCACCCCAACTTTTCTTCTCTTCATAAAATTAAAAAGATTTATCCTTAACTCGCTCTTTCCTCAAAACAAACAACCACCACATTACTACTAAGGCTGATAAGGGAAATTCGACAGTTATTATGGACAAGACCGAATACTCACACAAAGTGCAACAACTGCTTTCAACTTACGTACCCTCCCCCTATGACCCAACCCGCACACTAATGTTAATATTCAACCAACACATTAAAAACTAACTTGAGAACAAACAAATTAACGGCCCCACTTAATACAACCTCATATCCTACAACTCCTTAGCACTCCACTTATATGGACTCCCGAAAATTCACAAACCTGGAAATCCACTCCGCCCAATCATCTCCAATTTAAACGCTCCCTCTGCTAAACTCAGCAAATTCCTTTTACCCTCTCTCCAAAAACTTAGCCACAATAATCCTTATAACATTATTAACTCATTCCTGACAACTTTATCCTTGTTTCCCTAGACGCCGAAAGCTTACTTACCAACACCCCAATAGACAAAGCCCTCCACATTGTACAGAAAAACTGGACAATCATCGAACTTACACCACCCTCAACCTCTCCTCATACTTTGAATCCCTTGAGCTTTGTTGCAGATCCGGATACCTCACTTTCCAAGGAAAATTCTTTAACCAGATTTCAGGCCTAGCCATGGGAAATTCTTTAGCACTAGACATTTCCAATATTGTTCTTAATGACCTTCTAGACACCGTTATCCCTTCTTTTAATCAAGACATCATTTTCATTAAAAAAAAATATGTCAATGACCTCCTCATTGTTCTTAACTCAGATAGCATTCCTAAAATTCTTTCCTCATTCAACTCTAACCACCCCCGTCTTTGTTTCACTATAGAGAAAGAAGTTAACAATTCACTCCCCTTCTTAGACCTTATAATAATAAAAAACACTGACACCTATATTTCTACTGACTGGTATACTAAACCCACATACTCAGGCAGACTACTAAACTTTTATTTTCAACACCCATATTACCAAAAAATCAATACCACCAAAAATCTTATTCACCAATCTCTCTCTTTATCTGATCCACAATATCACCAAGCCAACACTCAGCATGTCAAAAATATACTACTTTCCAATATTTTCCTCTAAATACTATACTTAAACTTTTAAACAGCTATACAACTAAAGACCACCTTCCCTTCTCTCAACTCCTCACAATCACCTACCACTCCTTTTATATAGAAATCTCTCTCCTATGTTCCTATTCTCTCAGATAATATACAAAAATTCCTTAAATTGACTATAACCAACTTACGTCTTGGCCTTAAGTATCGTAACAAACTTTCTTTCCTTTTCACCAACTAGAAAGATCCCATACTTTTACTACACCGGTCTAATGTAGTTTACCAGATACCTTCAACTACTCCTAATTGTAATACCTCCTATATTGGCGAAACCAAAAATGATCTCAAAACCCACATTTCCCAACATAAATCACCCATAACTTCCCGGAACCCTTTCGCCTCCAAACTATCAGAACATGCCTTAACCCTCAACCATTCATTTGATTTTGAAAAAACCTCTATTCTTGCCACGGTCCCTAACCATGAAAAAAGACTCATTTCCGAATCCATCCACATTCACATGGAACAGAATCCTGTTAATCATTAAGTAGATAAAACTGTATCTCTTCAACATATAGGCACATTTTAAATCTTATAAATAAAAAACAACTTATTTAGCACATCCTATTACTTTTTATCTATTTTCAATTTTTATTGATTAATTCAATTTAATCGTTCATCATTTTTATGTATTTCCATTTTGTATGATCTCTCTTTTATTTTCAATTTTATACTTACATCCTACATCAATGTACGACCATCCGTTTTTACTTTGTATTCATTTTACTTTTTAACCATTATGTCTCAATACTATCTAATATTTAAATGTAATTTTCTTACATATGTACAATAAGTATAATTATAATTATTCATATCCGTTTCCTCTCCATACTTCTAAATTAGTTCTGCAATGTATGGTGTCTAATTTTTATATTTATGTTTTACTTCTATCTACGTTTTACTTCTTTCATTTTTGTTTTTATTCACATTGTACTCCTATCTATAATTTCTTAATTCTATTTTATATGTACATGTATATATTTATAATTTATTATTTCATAGCTATAGTATTTTCTCTTCTGTCCATCCAAATCTTCAAATTTTAGATACTGTAATCTTCCTGGTTTTGTTTTACTTTTAATACTTAGCCCCTTTACAACTCCCCAACCAAGTCAGCAAATTTCCCTAATACTTACTCTGGTTTTCCAGTTTTAAGTGAAACTCCTTGCTGAACACACCTGTAAGTCTATTTTTATTCTTCTAATTTTATTTACTTATTTTTTGTTTTTTCTTCTTTTTTTTCCTTTTCTTCCAATCTCTCCTGTAGATCTATAGGAGTATATTCACAATTGCATATATTATATTTTATATTATACTACAACAATTGTTTATGTAACTTATTGTTCTTAATATTTTAATATACTTACTGTCTATAATTTTAATCAGTTTATTACACATTGTTTATTACTTTTTTATATAAATATTATGTAACTTCGACAATTCTCTATATCTTTTTGTATCTTGTCCGTTCTAGTCCTGACGAAGAACTGTAAAGTCGGGTCGAAACGTTGGCTTTTAATAAAATAGTTTTGCCACTATTTAGTCTATTTATGACCGCCACCCCGGACCATCTTTCTTGATAGTATTTTTAATCGTTATGCCGATGTTTCGACCCACTTTGTAGGTCATCATCAGGGTAAATAAGAGGAAGGTGTTTTAGCTCATATAAGTGTAGTTCATGACCTATTATCTGACTATAATTGATATCTTAAGTTTTAATATATTAAGGTCGAATTATAAAAACATTATATTATATATATATATATATATATATATATATATATATATATATATATAATATATATATATATATATATATATATAAAACAAGTTTTCTCCTACTTTCTTTAATTATTTTAGTTATGATTTTTCCTATTTTAATACGAATTTTTACAAATTAATACGAGTTGATTTATATAATTTATTCACATGAAATTCAAAAGAATACATGTAAATCTGTTTGGTTTTGATTTTTAATCTTTTTGATAACATATGCAAAAATTATTTTAAAATACTTAGAAAATAAAATTTATGTATGTGTAAAGTATACACTAAAATATATAATTTTTTAACTATATCACTTTTTATGTTCACATTCTCTTTATTTCTGACATAAAGAAGTTACTTATATAACATTTTAGAGGAAATCTTAATGGTTATTCTAATTATCTTATTGTTTGTATTACAAATAAGAGATTAAAATAACTATAAATCAGTTGATGCAAATTTAACAATCAGTATAAGATAACTTAAATTTGTATACGGGATGTGATGTGCAATGTTGGACCCCACTATTCACAAAATATATAAATCATCACAATATATTACCAAATGAAATATTTATAATGTAGCATAAAAAGGAAATAAATATATTGTAATACAATAAGGGTTATAATGTATATAATATAGAGATGGACTATATTTGTATGGGCTTCTTCCCTCAAAACAAATAAAGATTAAATAAATAAATGAATATTAACAATTGAACAGACTCTCTGATGATGCCTGAATTGGCTAAACTTTGGATTAATTAAGAATAAATTGAATTTATGACAGAGTACTAAGGCCTAACTCCTTACTCATACTTCTAATATATTCACCTTCCCATTATCCTCATTGACAATAATTAGTAGTTCACTAACCCTTATACCAAAATAACAGTATTAAGGATTCTACCATTTATCTGAACGCAATGACTAACTAGCATTGATTCAATATTTATCAGTTGAGATTAAAAAAAAAAAAAAAGAATTGTGCAACAAAGATTAGGTAATGAAGCCAGTTTTCATTTTGTTTTGTTTGCATCAATGGTCAGAAATACAATTGTTAGTGAGATACAAATACTCCTGTGATGAGTGAAGCAAAAACACAAACAAGAAAAAATGAAAGTAGAATTTTTGTTTTTACAACTTTTATGTTTAAACCATTTGGGATAGATAAAAGGAATAATATTTTAAGAATTATACATTTTATATTCAGACACAGAAGTACCTATATGTAAATAGCTACTAAAATATTTGACACTGAATAGTTTAAAAAATAATAATAATTTAAATTACCTGAGAGTGGTGGAGTAGGAATAACATTTTCTCCATCAATAGAAGATGATATTTCGTTTTTACAATTAACTGTTTTCTGTATCTTATTTTTTTCTGAAAAAAATATTGGTTTTAGATAGTCAAATTTTAATGTAAATATATCAATATCAAACATTTCAGATAAAAATACCAATATATTTTTAAATATACATAATTTTATGGGGATAGATAAAAAAATATCATGGAGTGTTTTGAGAAGTTCCCATCATTTTCTGAAAAAGTATAGATGAGGGCAATTACATTGTTGTATATCAGTACAATGTAATTTCCATGTTAATAAAATTTGATTTTTGGAAGAAAATTAATATATATTTTTTTTTTTATGACTTCTAAAATAAAATGTGTAACATTAATTCAATATTTATCAGTTGTGATTAAAAAAAAAAAAAAGAATTGTGGAACAAAGATTAGGTAATGAAGCCAGTTTTCAGAACACGTGAGTTGCGTCAATGGCCAGAGATACAATTGTTCTCCTGTGATGAGTGAAGTAAAAAAATGAAAGTAGAATTTTTGTTTTTACAATTTTTATTTTTAAAGCATTTTAGATAAATAAAAGGAATAATTTTTTAAGAACTAAACCTTTTACATTGGGTCACACAAAGTACTTACATGTAAATAGCTACTAAAATATTTGACATAGAATGGTTTAAAAAATAATCATAATTTAAATTACCTGAGAGTGGTGGAGTAGGAATAACATTTTCTCCGTCAATAGAAGATGGTACTTCATTTTTACAATTAAGTGTTTTCTGTATCTTAATTTTTTCTGGAAAAAATATTGGTTTTAGATAGTCAAATTTTAATGTAAATATATCAATATCAAACATCTCAGATAAAAATACCAATATATTTTAAATATACTTAATTTTAGTGGGATAGATCAAAAAATATGGAGTGTTTTGAGAAGTTTCCATTATTTTCTAAAAAGGATAAATGAGCACAATTACATTGTTATATATCAGTACAATGTAATTTCCGTGTTAATAAAATTTGATTTTTGGAAGAAAATTAATATTTTTTTTTTTCATTTTTATGACTTATAAAATAAAATGTGTAGCATTGATTCAATATTTATCAGATGAGATTAAAAAAAAATAAATGTGCAACAGAGATTAGGTTATGAAGCCAGTTTTCATTCAGAACGTGTGAGTTGCGTCAATGGACAGAGATACAATTGTTCTTCTGTGATGAGTGAAGCAAAAAAATAAGAAAAAAGTGAAAGTAGAATTTTTGTTTTTACAATTTTTTTTTAAAACCATTAGGAATAGATAAAAGGAATATATTTTTTTTAAGAACTATTCATTTTACATTTGACCACACTAAGTACCTAAATGTAAATAGCTACTAAAATATTTAATACTGAATGGTTTAAAAAATAATAATAATTTAAAATACCTGAGAGTGGTGGAGTAGGAATAACATTTTCTCCATCAATAGAAGATGGTATTTCATTTTTACAATTAACTGTTTTAGATGTCCGTTTATTATAATGAACTAAAAAAAACAACAAAAAAAGAACAGTTAAGTGAAAGTAATAATCTAACCAATATTTAACTGGTTTTGTTAAAAAAAATAATCTCATTTTAATGTGCCTACCAATGAGGCAGCTTTTCTTGTTGATATTTTTGATTATATATTTTGTTTTCTGTATCTTAATTTTTTCTGGAAAAAATATTGGTTTTTGATAGTTACATCTTAATGTAAATATATCAATAACAAACATTTTAGATAAAAAAATACCAATATATTTTTAAATATATATAATTTTATGGGAATAGATCAAAAAATATCATGTGTTTTGAGAAGTTCCCACTATTTTCTGAAAAAGTATAGATGAGCACAAATACATTGTTACATATTTGTACAATGTATTTTTTAATTATAATAAAATTGGATTTTTGGAAGAAAATTAACTTTTTTTCATTTTTATTACTTCTTAAATAAAATGTGTAGTCTGTTAGTATACTATATTGACCACCAGGCAGTGATGTGAACATAAAGAGACAGATTAATGGCAGAAGATAATTATGCCGGTCATTATTTCTCTTTTTTTCATAATACGTACCTTTTAGATCTTTTGAAACCTTAACCAACCTTCTCCATATCTGATTATCTAGGGCTATTTCTTCCGAGTTATCCGCATGGAGCTGTATTTTATCTATCCATCTGGTTTTTGCCCTTTCATATGTGGTGTTTCACCTTCAATTGAGGTATTCATTGTAGCGTGGAAGCTTCCAGATAGATTGATCCAAGCTACATGCCTCGCCTATCTTAATCTCCTTGACTTCATATCAGGCCTGTGACATTGATTAACAAGTCTCTGTAGCAGCTCTTTATTGGTCTTTCTCCTCCATGTGTTAGGATTCTGATCCCCAGATCGCTCAGGTTATTGTGTGAAATTAGAGACCTTTGAAAGAGAGAATAAATCTCTATTAGCACTTGTCTATTTCTGACCATTAGTCGTTCATTGACGTTCTTGTGGAACTGATGTATTTGAATTTCCCTTCTACTAAGATCCTGTTATTGGGTTGGGATTTTCGGCTTATTATCATATGATTTGTTTTATCACCATTTACTTGTAGGCCAATTTGCCCTGCTTCTCTTATCAAAGTCTCTGCAAGTTTTTTATGGTCCTCTTGATTGCTTCCAAGGAATGCTAGACCATCAACATATCCATGTATTTTATAATTCATTCTGACTTACACACCCCCATTTTCACATAATGATGTTCTCTCTGATTACTATACTCATACACGTAACCTTTCTTTAGGATAAATGTACATACGAGATCGATACATAGGATAGAATTCTATAATTTCTTCAGAAAGTTGGGTAATTCAAATTTCTTTTTTATTGTTAGGTATGTAGTGAATATAAAAAATCTAAGTTTTCACCCTTGAAAGCCTTGTGGGTTCAGTGCTGCAGTGCTCCAAAAACCAATGAAATTTTGAATGTTCTGTTGGTTTACGCTAAATATCTTCTTTTTAGAGCGACACAAATAAAAAAATGGTTATATTCAATCTTAATCAGCTTAAAATTATCTAACTTTTTTGTACATAACATTGTTTTTCTAAACCTAACAGGAAGCGAACTATCTAGCTTTCAAAATTAAACTATTTCAATATCTTCAAAATAGTGCAATTTCAGTTTTGAACGGGAGAATTCTGTAACTGCATTTCGCACATCGTTCAGAGAATTTGGAGGTTTTCTTGAAGATAATGAGCCATAGAATGAAACTGTAAACTGTTACTCATACTAAAAAAGTATGTTACTATGGTATAAAAGTATGGGGGGCCAGAGCCCCCTACCATGCATCCTTCTCCCACCTCCCAATAGATTGCATACAGCTGTGTTCCTTGTAACAATTTAAAAATAAAAGAGGCAATGTTTCCACATAAAAAAAAGGGGCTGCACTGACCCAAAATGATGCCCAAACAAGGCAGATTGACCTCTTTGAATCGAGTTAGTTTTTCGGTCACTGAAATTCAGCATTTGTCTTAATTTGGTCATAATTGGACTTTTATTAAAGCTCAATAGTTACCAAATAATAAATCATTAAAAAATAATAGGTCTTGGCTATAAAAAACACCAGTAAAGTTAATTTTGTTAAGTCATTCAAATTAAAGTTGAAAATCAAGCGTCATTTGTAAATAAACAGCAACAATAATGAAAAAAATCAAAACAAATAAAACATCTGGAGAATACATTTCTGTTTCTAAAACACTTTACTTTTTAAAATTTCGAAACGGTTACATATAAAATACATTTAAGCAGCGGAAAAGCGGCAGACACTGTTATAGACGCCTAGAGTCGTCTGCCATGTCAGTTAGTACTCATAAATGGCATAGTTATAGAGTTATAATAATGTTTTTAGTACTTTATTTTAATTGTATTAATGAACAAATATTAATACAATAATTTAATTGTCCAAAACAATTTTTTGTGTAAAAACCGAACAGTCTTCAGATGGTAACAATCCGTAAGAACACAGCTGCATGTAATTTGGATAATATTAATTATTAAAAAATGTGTTAAAATAAACTTCATTTAAAAGTAACAAGAAAAACAGTAATTCTTTTATGATAAATTTTATAAAATTCAGTGGAAAACGGTAAAAATAAAATTATAAGGTTTTTTTTTTTAAATTTCAAAGCATTAATTTCTTTTTAGCGATTTGTATTGGTCAAGTTTAGAGTAATGTTTCCTATAAAAGCTATATTAAATTTCGATGGTTTTTGGAACACTACAGTGAACCTATAAAGCTTTCAAGGATGGAAACTTGAGTTTTTTATATTCACTGCATACCTAACCTAACAATATAAAAAGAAATTTGAATTACCCGATTTTTTGCAAGATAGACCCCTTTCTTTTTGCTGATTTGACTAGGCTATAAGATCTGATGAAAGAATCGAGAATAGAATTTTTCTTATATTATCTTCTAAAAATTTAAAACGACAAACAGAAACTTCATTGAACCAAAATAAAAGCAAAAAGTACCTAAACACATACACATGGTATGGCCACCTCAATCCCTTGATCTCAACCTCATCGAACCACTGATGGATGAGCTGGAGAGAAACGTTTGGAAGATGCAATGGTACCAATCAAAAAAACTTTCTTAACTAGAACATTGCAAAAAGTAATAGAAAGAATGCCAAAAATATGCAATGCTCAAATTAAGGCAAAAGGGTGATACATCGAAGAATGAAAAATTGGACAATATTCATAATTGGTAACTTGAAGAATGAAAAATTGGACAATATTCATAATTGGTAACTTGGTTTAACCGTTAGAGATGACGCCACCTACACATCTCTTCTCTCTCCCCCTCCATTGTAACGACTTTTATTCTCCCTTCGACACTTAAGGAGACAGGTAGTACTTCTTTTATTTATTTCTTATTTCAGCTTTCTCAATTTCTTCCCTCCTTCCTTTCATTCCTCTTCTCTGTTTTTAACTCTTTATTATATTATACATTGTCTGTACATCTTTACAATATCTCAATTTTCTATCTAACTACTCCATTCTCAATGTTTTAATTTTACTATTTATTTTCATTTCTTATATAACTTGATATTTCTTTTTTATGTTTTACATTTTATTCTAAGATTCCCATTGTAACACTTTTGTCACCCTTTTTGATTATGCTTACTTCATCGTTCCACACTTTGTAACGGTTTTTATTATTTATCTCTTAGTTCTTAGTTATTATTCTAACAATTTCATTTTACTTTATATTTATCTGTTTTATTTTTCTAATTTTTTTATTTTATTTTTTATTTTGTATTATCTTTTTTACCATCATTACTTATGTTTCTCATACCTTGTTATCTGGTTATTTTCTTAGCCCTGATGAAGGCCTGAACTTCAGGTCGAAACGTCGGCATATGTAAAAAATAAATATTATCATTTTTTTGCCTTCCTTTTTGACTGACTACCCCAACTATTCTTCTCTTCTTTCGACAATATTCATAATTTGTAAATAAAATTCTAGTCATTATGTAATAATTGTACTTGTATTTATCAAAATAAAGCTGATTTGTTATTACCTAGTACAGTATTTATGGCAGAACTAGGTATTTGAGACATACAAATTTTGTTATTTATTTATTTTATAAAATCTAAGCATAAGTCTAAACTTTTGACTGGTAGTGTGTGTGTGTGTATATATATATATATATATATATATATATATATTATCTACAATGTTTGCAAGGTTAAATTAAATTACAATTAAGGAGATAAAACACTTTGAAATTAAAACATTAATCATTTTCATAAGTTTGGTTTGATCGAAGACTTTTTCACACAACTGTATATTTAAGCGATTCAATTGATTTTTTAATTTATAGTTCCTAGACATAATTTTTTTGTTTTTTTTTACCAATGTTAATAAATCGATACTTTTTTTTATCATCAACAAAAAAATATTTAATAGATGCAATTAAAGCTATTACAACAGATGCTACAAATTTAATACTTCACGATTCAATGTTAATCTATTACTTTTTTTTTTTTAAAGATAGACAAAGTATCATTTTTTTTTTTTATATTGAAATTTTGATATATTTGATAAGGATCAATATTATTGTTTGAAATTTACATTTATATTCTTTTTAAAAATTAAAAATATTGAAACCATATATATCGATACTTTTATTTATACTAATATAATAATATTGAACATAAAATATGTTTGGCTGTCTCAGTTCGGCTGTGTACCAGTTGGAGTCACAATAGATATACTAACGACATTAAACAAAAACCATGTTTATCCAGGCCCTAGGTTATGTTCAGACTGCAAAAGGGTTAAATTATTTTAACAGGTAACAGAGATTAAAAACGATAAATGAAATAAAGTCAATTTAATAGCAAATTTAAAACTTATAAATAATAGAATACTAATATCATGTGTACTATATTGATAAGGGTTCAATTACAAACTTAAAATAATTAAACATACTTACAATGAAAGCCATTAAACACCTCAGGATCACAAAATAATATTGCTTTAAGTAGTTCTGGTATGTTTTGTTGATCAACATTCGAAGTTTCACTACTTGTGTAGTGATCTTTAAGTTCACTGAAATAATATTTCTAGTTAAATTTCAAAATATTGATATTATAACAAGAACACAATACATTATATGTTTATACGGTTGACAAAAGGACATAATTTATAATAATAATTATAATGAAAGGCTTAGCGAACCCGGAGGTTCGATGCTGACACCACCAATCACTTATTACACACCTCCTTCCACCGTTCGCCGTCCAAACCCAGTGCCTTCAGATCGGCTTTAATGCAATCTTCCCACCTTCGCTTCGGTCTACCTCTTGGACATTTACCATTCGGTACAGCAAATATCAACCTTTTAGGAATTCTTTCGTTACTAAGCCCAACTATTTTACAAGCTCATTTGATTCTCAGTGATGTAATCACCTCAATTATATTAATTGGATACAGTTCATGCAACTCGGCTTTGTGCAACCTTCTCAACTCTCTGATTAACTCATCTTCCTTCGAATAAGCTACGCAATACTTTATTTTCAAAAACCTTAAGATGTTGCTCATCTCTTAATGTAAGCGGCCACGTTTAGCATCTGTAGGTAGGATGATAGTTTTATAAATTCTAGTCTTTAAATTCCGGGACAAGATGTGCGAGCTAGTAGTTTTGTCACAGAAAAATAACAAGCATTTCCTGCCTTCAATCTAACCTTAATCTCCTCCTCAATTTCGTTTTTTCTAGTTATCATAGACTCTAGATACTTAAAATTCTCTACCTGCTCAAACATGTTACCTTCTATATCAATATCGCCATTTTTGTAGCTAACCATATATTTTGTCTTATCCGTGTTTATTTCGAGCACTAGTACTTTATCGGCTTTCATTAACATTGTCGTATTTAGTTTTAAAGTTTCCGTGTCTTCGCTTAACAGGACCAGATCATCCGCATAGCCAAGCACGGGTGTTGTTCCACCCAGATCCAACCCTTTTTCGGTACGCATCACCTCCCTAATGGCATGTTCTGACAGGTGAAAGGGAATCACCCTGTTTTAAACCTGCACGAACCTCTAACTTTCCGGATAAATTATTCCTGATTCTAACTTTATTGAATGTTTCCGTCAAGCACATCCTGACTAGATTTACTGATTTTTTTGGAATCCCCTGCTCAATTAGAATATTATACAGTTTCTGGCGGTCAATAGAATCGTAAGCCTTTTTGAAATCAATATACAGCTGGTGAACAACGTTATACTCTTAATTTTTTCTCTAATATTTGACGAAAAGAAAATATTTGATCAATAGTCGAACGAGTCCGTCTAAATATGCATTGGTAGTTACCGATAATTTCCTTGATAACGTGATTCGACTTGTTAAAATTAAAGTGAATATTTTATAACATACCAGAATGAGTGAAATTCCTCGATAGTTATTATAATCCGTCTTCGGACCCTTTTTGTGAATCGGAATAAGAATAGATTCTTTCCATTCTTCACGTAATAGGATTATTGAGAGTTTTTAATTTAGCTGCTTTTCTTTTTTCGCACATGTTTATGCAATCTTCATCAAACTATGGTTAGTTATTCTTATTTTCCTTTTCTCCTAGACACAAGTTACCGACCCCTTTAATATTATCCCTGATCTCTACCCATAACTTGTTAATATCCTCGAAGTCCTCGTCAGAAGGTTATTAAGCTTCAAACCTATTCTTAACATCTAGCTCGATTTGAATTCTAATAGATGGATTTTTTAATTTTTCCAAATTAAAATTCTCAAAATTAAAACTGTTTTCTTTTCTCTTTTTTATATTAAGTTTTTGTCAAGGTTTTGCGATTACTAATTCATGATCCGACCCACATTCTGCTCCACATTAATTATACTGCTTTGCCAGTTATGTTTTTCAAGATATGATCGATTTGATTTCGGACATAATTTATTATTATCAATATTAGTAACTTCTTATAATTTCAAGCTGAAATTAATATTTGTACAATTATATCTGCCATAATTATTAGAACTTGAAAGAATCATCTTTTTTTTTTTTTTATTTATAAATATAATAGTCTATAGTAACAGAGTCCATTTGATACAAAAATGTGTATCCCACTCAATAGAATTATATATAAAATAACCATTAAGGTCAAAAAGGTGTATGTATGTAAAGAAACAAAAGTAGTATGTATGTAAAGAAACAAAAAGTTTTAAGCCAAATAAAAAATACTAAAAAATGACAAGGTATATAAGAAAAGTGGAGATGCTGTAGTTAGCCAACTGGTGTGCAGGGATCAGTGAAAATGGGCTTCAATATGCATTCTGAGGAATGTGGCTTCGAACTGAACAATCCCTGAGGTGACTAACATCCATTGTTCAGTAACCTCATAATAGACACTCAGGAGATTACAGTGCATGGATGTGGGGAAGGTGTCTAGTGAGCTAATAATGGCCACTTTTTAGTCGGAAAGCAACCATGGAATATACTGGGTTGAATGAGACTATTAGTGACAAATATTTCCCATTTCTTACCAGCAGCTATCAGCGTTCGTTTCATCTGACGACTGTTAATTAGTGACTTGGATGAGAGCATAAGCTAACATAGGGTTGATTCAAACTTGACTAATTTATTGGCTTCCTTTATTTCACAAATGCTGATGTAATTGGATACTGACAAGAATATAAGTGTCAATCCCAGGTTTTCCAGTTTAGTATTACATCTATCCAGTGATAGATTTTTGGAGTATTGCGTTGTAAATAGTAATTTGCAAGTCAACCAGAAACAATGCTTTGCATAGATGTTGCTTGCTGATAGGTGGCCAATTGTAAATTAATTATTCTTCTGAAGCTAAAGGCCTCCGAAAATCTCAGTATTAACATTAGGATTCAATCTGAGTCGGAGCTTGAGCTTACTTAGTGTATTAATGTGGTCACAGTGGACAAAGCTTCCATATTCTAGCACAGGTCTTATATGACTCATAAAAAATCTTGATTAGCACTCCACTTAGAGGCTGTCAGTCTTCTTAATAGACAGGTTGTTTTTACTGCCTTCTCCACAATAGTATTCTACACGAGGATTTCATGTTAACCCTCCAAGGACAATAATTGTTTAAATATGAAAACAGAAACTTTGCAGATGTTTTCTTAGTTGTTTATGTACTGGCTAACCAAGGAATAACTTGTCCCTAGTTGGAACTCTGAGTAGAAAGGCTATTTTGAAAATAAATATGTTCAGTGACCGGCCAAAAATTCCACCCCACTTGATTTTTTCATGTTTTCATCTATATTTCATGTAAAACAAGTTGTATTTGTATATAACATATGGTATTTGTAGATAATACTTAGTATTTATGGAATTTTATAATCTTTTTTACCTTTAATAATCAAAATGTGATTGGGTAAGAAAGATTAGAGAAAAAAAAATTGAAAAACGAACCATCATTATTCTAAAAGAAATTAATTACAACATCGTTTAGTAGGGCGTGTTTCCTCCTCTTGCCTTCACTACTTCTTGAAGAAGCCTCGGCATACTTTCCACCAGTCGGGAAGTGTCCCTTTGCTGGAGGACAGCCCATTCCTCCCGAAGAGCCCTTTCAAGGTCCTGCAGTGTATCAGGAAGTGTTGCACGCGCTCTTATTCGTCTTCCAAGGTTATCCCATAAATTCTCAATGGGGTTCAAATCTGGAGAATGTGCTGGCCAGGCTAAAACCTCAATATTGTTCTGTTGAAGGAACATCTGCACTATGCGGGCGTGCATTATCGTGCATTAGAATAGATCGATCGCCGATTTTGTTGAGGATAGGCAACACATGAGGTTCCGAAATCTCATCTACATAGCGAATGGCCGACAAAGACCCTCCATGAACAACAACCAATTCTGTGCGGCGCTCCATTGAAATCCCAGCCCACACCATTAAGGAACCACGTTGGAAAGGTTGGCTTTGGGAAAAATTACAGGCTGCATATCTTTCGTTTCTTCTTCTCCACACCCTTTCACGCCCGTCTGGAGATCGAAGAGCGAATCTTGACTCATCTGTAAAAAGTACAGCACTCCATTCGTACATAGTCCAATGGCTGTGTTCTCAAGCAAAAGCCAGCCATGTTGCTCTGTGAGTTCTGGTCAACTCTGGTCCTCTTACTGGACGAAAAGCCATTAATCCATACTCATTTAATCTTCCCCAAACGGTACGTTCAGAAATTTGCACACCTCTAACTTCTTCGAGTTGATGAATCACTTGAACAATGGTAAGGTGCCGGTTTTGTAAAGTTCTCAAAGTCAAAAACCAGTCATCCTGTGGTTCTGTTACCCTAGGCCGTCCAGAACCGGGCCTTCTATAATAAGAACCAGTTTCCCAAAAACGCCTGACGGCTTTTCGTAAAGTTTCGTATGGAACTCCGATGGTTTTAGCTGCATATCTAACGGAACGTCCATCATCAATAAGTGCCACACCACGCGCAACATCCTCAGCACTAAGAGGCCTTTTTAAACTTAATATTGAAAAAATTAAAAGCCGGAGACTAAGAAATGTGCTGCAAGAAACAGCACTGAACTAATGATACTGAATAAACATTTTGATTCCATAGAAAGTAAACATTGGAATCTAGAATCATTTCATTGAACTAAGGATTAAGGGTTATTGTCCTCTATATTAACATTCCTAATTGAAAACAAATAAAAAGATTACCTATTTATTCATTAAAAACAATAGACCAATCCAAAGCAGAAATATTTTTAGATGAAAACATGAAAAAATTAAGTGGGTAGAATTTTTTGCCTGTCAGTGTATATTATTTTAAAATTAGAAAAATAGTTTGTGACATATTATAAAATAATAATTAAAACCAGTAATAATAAATAACTTAAATAAATAACAAATGTTAAATTCATCAAACTGATATTTCACACTGTACTTGCTACAGAAATCAATGCAACATCCTTCATAATCCATATTCCTCAATTATTATAGTCAAGTTCACACAATAGATAGTTCATTTTGCCTAATGCCATGTAACATCATACATTTTCTCTTTCATAAGTTAACTAGGTCCTCCACGTGATTTTAGCTGTACTTTGTATCTTCTCAAATATGTTCTGACTATCTCACTTTTTAATATTGAGTTTCATTACTTTTTGGGCTGTATATTTATACATTAGGCATGCATTGTACCCTGGGGTACATCAATTAACATTGTGAAATAAGGACGAGCATAAATTATGATCAAATTAGATGGCTAAAAAAAACTTCATGATTCCAATATAATACGATAATTTTTCATAAAACCATTTAAATTTATGTATTCAATCAAAAGACTAATCTAACAAAATAATCAAACGAGTTATTCTACTTCCAATAATTTAAAATCAATGGCTCAGTTATAAAATTATTCTACTGAACACACAATATACAATTTGGTGGTTAAGTGAAGCAAATAGTGACCAAACTGCCTCTTAGTTTCCTGCCCACAAGATAGAAAACACATAAGTAAATGGAAGCAAAGTCCTTTTTAAAATCATGTTAATTATAATCAGGGCATGTATTATTATGCAGTAAAAACTCACAATATATTCCATATATATAATAAATAAACCGTCAAATATACAATAATGAAATATGCCATGAAAAAATTTATAAATATGCCATAAAACATCTAAAATATTCAATTACACTAATGTTCCTACAAAATGTGTTGAACAAAAAAAAATTAAAATAATAAAATAAGAATTTTAAAATGATAGAGGGAGGATTGAAAATTAAATATTTTTTTTTAATAAACTAAAATAATTAAAACATAATGTGATAAATAAAAATATATATTTACTAATGGTTAAAAGAGTAATATGAAATACTTTTATTCAATGAAATATCAAAGTATTGCAAGAAACAAAAACATCTATAGGCAATTGTATATAAAATATATAATTGATATATATATATATATATATATATATATATATATATATATATATATATATATATATATATTAATAATAATTAAAAACAACGTGAGATACTCATTAAACATTAAAATAATACAATTTACACTTAGTAAAAAAAGAAAACTAGCAGTTTTTAAAATAAAAAAATAATTGAAAACATGAACAAAATAAATAACATGAAAATGGATAAGAAATTAGTAAGCGCCACGATCTGACAAAATTTATCAATGCATATCTAAATTTGCATCTGAAAACCTAATCTTCTATCATTTGAAATATCTTTATAATTAGAAAATGATCATTCTGCAACAGAGGTGATAAAAGCAAATTTGTATCTACTTGAAATTACTGAGTTGTTTTCAATCGAAACTTGTTTTGGATAATAGTTGTAAAAACAAATATTTCAATGAGTTTTAAAAGCGGTTGGTTTCATCTTTGGGATCTTAAAGGTCGATCCAATATTCCAATTTTGACGAAAATGATGCACTTGAAAGTATAAAAAATAAAATTGCTCATAAAAAAGTAAGACATTGAAAGTGAGTCTGGTGTTTAGAAGTTAAAAAGAATGAGATGGGGGTATAAAAAAAAAAACAGGAAATGAAAAAAATTCGTATTCTAAGAATTCAATAACTAAATGTAGCGTTATGTTGTTGTTATTTGTTAATTGGAAATCAACCTACAATAGTATTAAGGAACTTCATCTTCAATTGTTCCATTTTAATTCATTATTTCTAATTATTATGATTATTTTTAATTTGAAATAATCGAAATATGAAACCATAGGCATATATCTAATATGTAAAAATATGCAATACAAAATTTGACTAATCTGACTAATTTGACTAGCATCTGGATGCATTGATTTATAAAGATATTTGATCACCACATTAAAAACTGCATGCAAACAAAATATGCAATTGCATAAAAATCCCAGCCTTGGTTATAACATATTTGTCATGCTCATTCTTGGAAGATTAAACCTTTATCCATTTAAATCCACAGATTTGTGGATATATTACTTTTCTAGAGTACTAATCCATTATACTAAAGAGGTATCTGTTTATGTCGATAAAGAGAAAAGTTAAATGCACTTTTTAATATACATATTTACTATCATAGTGTTCTGCCTTCCCATGATTCTAGTTTTCTAGGGCCTCAGCTAAACAAATTTTGAATGAAGGGACAGAAAACTAGAGATGACATTATAAACAATTATAGCTATAAAAAATAATAAAACAGAATTGATGCATTGATTTATATTGCTAAAAATAAAAAACGGGCATACATGTTAATAGCAGCAGACTGGTTAAGAGACTGTGCTAACTGAGGGACTAAGGTGTCATCCCGTAGACTGAGTAAAATATGAGCTTCTTCAGCTACCCTTGGATGAAATAGCAAAGACTTGTTGCTCATAGTCTGTGGTAAAGGAGATGGAAGAGGCATTTCAGGCAGCACTAGAAAAAATATATAAACAATATTTTAGTGATATCAAAATAAAAAAAAATCATATTAGACAAATGTGATTTCTCCTAAACAAATAATATGGATGAGAACATAGTTGGTGGTTGCAGAGATAGTGAAAAACAAAAATAAAACTTATAAAAATTGTAATTATTTTGTACCTGAAAAAAAAAAAATAATAAAGAAAGAAAAAAAAATCGTAATAATTTATAGATCATACTTAGAATATGTTATAACAGAAAAAATACATCTCTTGGCAACATTTAATTCACCCTTAAAAGACGAATTTTCTAATGTGATAAAAAAAAAATATTATCGTGATCAGTACTAGTGAATTCTGAGAGGGGGTGCACCCACCTGGATGCTGTACATTTTAAATTCCTAAAGAGTTCCAAAAATCAGCTATTTAAAGAAAAGAGAAATACAGGGAGAATTCATCTTCAATGAAGAATTTTCTAATATGAGACTAATTAAATAAAGTATAAATATAAAAATAATTAAAAATTATTACCATGACCACTTTATTAATCTTATGGTTTATCATATCACATCACCTCACCAGGCTGTAGATAAACTTGTGCTCTTGGCACACAGCGAGATTTTGTGAAACAGAATAAAATGTAAGAGCAAAAGTTGGCTCACAGGGTGAAGTGAAACAGTTTTTGGGACACCGTGAACTACAAATGCTTGCTGTCCTGTTGCAGTTGTTTACTAATGACTCCAAACTGATTCTCGCAGATGAAATACATGATGGAGGAAAATTAATTAAAAAAAAAAAAATGAACTTTATATATTCATTCGAACAACATTTTATTCGAGCACAAGAAAATATAGTTTTTCTCCCTGCCTCAGTTTTTATTCAGTTCCAATAGATCTGGAGGCATTGCAACCTCTAGCAACTGTTGTCTCCTTGAAAAATTCATGCAATTCATACAATTGGATTGCAAATTGTATATTTCTCATTAGTAAGTTTTTTTTCTCAACTAACAGTTGAGCACAATATTAGTATTTCTCTCGTAAGAAACCAAAAGCCGTACCTCTGTAATTACCACACTCTTACATGGAGCCTTCTTTAGGATAGGCTAGATTAGTAACTTTGCCCCCTCCCACATTTTCTGGATTAATTCTGATCCCATAGTAGGTATCTCAGCTCCATTTCTTGTGAGGATGTCTGCTTCCAAATTAGCTTTAATTCCATTAAAACAAGGGACCCATACTAGTTCCACCCTCTTGATAGAGGCCAATGTCTCCAATCCTTGTTTACACTATGCTCAGGGACTATAGAGCTTGAAGTGCTGACTATCAAAACAGATAGCAGAGTAATACCATCCCTCTCACAGTTGATAACTTCCAAGCATTTGGCTGCAGATAATATGGGAAATACTTCCGCTTGAAATACGGAAAAGTATTCGCCTAATGTGAGGTTTAATACTTAAAGTCTATATATACATACCCCTGCAAAGATCCAGTCAAATCTATAGTCTTTCTGAGTTTAAATTAAATCCTGTGCCTAATTTGATTAAGGTACAAGTAGCTAGTCTTCATATTCTAAGTAAAGATTGAGTCAAGCAGCAGAGGAAGGTACCGTAAAATAGGTAGCCTCTTTTTCTACCATTTAGGCTATCTCTAAATGAGCAGTAGGTGTCCCTGTTTCTTGCCATTGTCTATTATCCTTTTTTTTTTTTTTAATCAAATGATTGTTATAAATATTAGTTCATCATCTTTTCATTAACAAATAATCTTCCAAATGACGAAAATTCATTTCGCAATCACCAACAGCCAAATGAGGAAAATTCGTCGTTTATATATTACAGAAAATCATTAATTCTTGTTTGTTTGTTGGGGCTTTAAGGCATAAAACCTATGGTCAACAATGCCTGTAAATTACTTACAAATATGTGTTAAAAATATTTCCAAACTTGTAATGTTGTACTTTACTCAAAGATCTAAAAAGTAGTTTCTAAAATCACTTATCTACAATCATAAAAGGAAAATTTATTATATGAATAAAAAATGTATGATTTAACAATGGAAACATTTAGAGAGCTTGAAGTCTAGTGTAATCTCGGTTATATCCCTCCCCCCTTACACCACTGTTGACCAAGAAACAGTACTTCCTTGCAAAGTATTTGTAACCCTCCATGGATTGTTGTTGTACAGGTTCTTCTAATAAGATAAAAGTACACACTAGCAACAATTATTAGTTATAAGTTTTTAGTTTCTCTCCCCTACCTTCTATGACTTTAATGTTAGTTATCACCCTAAAATTTTTAGGCTTTCCAAAGGTATGTTATACATCCACGATACTACTCTTATTTCCATCAATACGTTATTAATGTGGGTAAATAACTCTAATTTTTAACACCACTAACAATGAGAAACATTTTATTTCTTTTAAATATGTCAAATTAAAGGTATGTTATAGGATTAAATTTTGAAAAATTGGTATTTAAGCCCTTTAAGATTATTTCCAAGAGGATAATACCTATATGGCCATTCAATTGTACATTGATATAATGAGTATAGTCAAATTCATTAGAGCTGTTATCGGGGAAATAGTAAAAATATGTAAAACCAATGATATAAAATAACGAGGTAAGATCCCAAGGGACACCTCTGTTTCCTGTTTTTATGCAGAGTTGAAGTGGCTTTATCCTTTATACCGTTGCAAGTATTTCCTGGCATCCTTCCTCTTTCAAGTCATCCAATCCCACTGTCCTTCATACATCTCCAAGCTCCTTCTACTTCAATTCAAATCCTCCGTTCCTTCCCACAATACTCGTTCCCGGTCTTCTGATTTATACATAAGGGCCCACCGAACCGCTGCTTTCGACAGATCCTTCATTATCCGATCCTCATCATCCCTATGGAACCACATCCCTCAATCCAAAACCCTTCCTACCTTTAAATCCCGCCTGTTCAATCATTTCTTATCCATCCAGTCCCCATAAAATTGTAAATAATTACTACTGTAAATATGTATATAAATTGTTAGATCATTCTTCATTATTTTTATTTCATGTTTATTTTCAATTTTTTTATTTTTTATTAACTGATCCAAATTAGTAAGTAACTTATATTTTTTCTATTATTTTGACTATTTAATTACTCTATATTTTTGTGTATGAATCTCTAATACTCCTTAGCCCACATTATTGTCTTTCTGTATTATTCTAAATGGACTTGTCCCAGAATAAATAAATCATTATTATTATTATTGTTATTAAAATAGCACTGCAGGTAAGAAGATTTTAGAGAAAAAATTGCTATTTGTGCCACCAGAGTATACCTAAACTTTGGGATCATACAACTAATTCCCGTATTAAAATTGTGGAAAAATATTTTGGAAACTATTTAATTACATTTTTCAGAAAACATACTAAACCTACAGGATTGAAAATATTTTAAATAGAACAATGGTAAAAGAAAAACATAAAATATTATGCATTACGCCTGCAAGCTTTGTGGGTATGAAGTGCCTGAAAAATATTGAAGGATAGGAAGAAAAATGGTCAGGATGTGCTGTAAAAAAATATGTTTACTGAGTTTGTCGATATTTCAACCCAAAATGTGGGTCATCAACAGGCCTAAAAATGAAAAAATACAAAATAACAGAAAAATGATACATATTAAAGTATAAGAGAAGAAAGAGGTGGCATGTAAAAATCAAATAACGGTTATATGAAGATAAAAATAATAAAAACATTATATGTTAAGAAAAATTTTTTGTATTATAAATAAATGGAAAAGATAAACAAACATATTAAAAGTAAAAATAAATAAACTAAATAATTAGTGTAAATAAAACAATTAAACAAATAAGGAGGCAGAAACAACGTATAGAAATAAAAATTATCTAATTGAATTTTTTTTTGTTGAATAGCCGTTAACTTCTACAACTTCTAACCAACGTTGTTTTTGAATACTTTTTTTTTATTATTGAATTGTTTTAATAACACTAAATATCTGGTTTATTTATTTCTACTTTTGATATAATTATCTTTTTCATTTATTTATAACACAAAAACCTTTTCTTAGCAGATTATAACATTTTTATTAATATTATGTTTATATAACCGTGATCTCATTTGTATATTCTACCATTTACTTCTCTAATACATATATGATAATTTTAAGTCCTGATGATGACTCACATGTTTACAATATGTATACAATAACGTCAGCAAACTCAATAAAATAATTTTTTGATTGCACATCTAATCCGTTTTTCATCCTCACAATTTCAACAGCCAACTATATACCAATCTCTGAAAATATTAATGATGTTGAGAATACAATATTTGAAAATTCTCCAGTTTTCAAGACATCTAAATGTATTTTGTAGCATATTTCATAAGTTTGACAGCAGTTTGAATTGATAGTTGCCTGAGATTTAGGGTCATATAACTATTAGCACATACCATGATTAGAAGCAACATTAACATAAGCTAATCCTGATAAACAATTCATGAGAACTACAATCAAAATCATAAATTCCCATTTTAAAATTTTCTTATGTTACTAAATTATTAATCATAAATATGACCTGAACAAAGATTCAATTAAAATTATGACAAAATAGAATATTTTTCATAATTTTAATATTACTTAAATGCTTTTATGAAATCAAACGACAACAGTTTCAAAAATGAAACAAATACATTTAATGTAGTCCAAATATACTAACTCTATCCCTAATTGTCTTCTAGTCCATCATTCAAAATGAAGAGATGTAGGTTTTTCTGAGATGATACTATCCAGTATTACTGGTCCTAACTTACTGCTTAATAACAAGTCGCTGTTTTTGGTCAATTAATGATAACGACTTAAAACTTTATGATTTTAATTCCATCCAACTAATCATTACCTCAACAAAGACGGAACCAATTACTTGGTAGAAGTCATGAGGAGAAAATTGAAGAGGAAAATAATATTATTATGGAAGCTTATGTGCCTCAAAATAACCATTTTTATAATCGTTTTTCTTAACTTACAATACAAAATTTCTAAAAATTAGAATAAAGAATTAAATTGTAAACACAGTATGTTATCCTGGAACAGTTATTAAAGTTAGTATTCTAAAATAAGTCTATAAAATTTAAATAAAATTACTACTAAAGTTAAATTTCAGAGTGTTCAAGGAACGAGACTTCATCAAACAATGATTCCATTGAATAATTTTAATACAACTCAGAAACATAAGAGAAAGTGGATAGTTAAAATCATAAAACTGAATATCTTACAGTCTGTGAGACTTGAGATGCCAGCCAACGTAGTTATTGGCACACTCGGGATTTCACCGTTCATTCTTAGGTCACTGAAAACATTTCTCCAGGACCTTCAGTCTGCGAGGATGAACAATCTACAACATTAAAACGTCACTTATTATAAGACAAATTAACTATAAAACTCATGATAAAAAACTAATTTATATATAAATAGAAACTTTAATGTTTTTTAACAATTAGACCACTATTTATCTATCTGTAAACCACTGATATCAAGACAAATAATAGAATTCAACAGATTGTAAACTGATACTACACATAGAATTTCCATTTGTCATGAAAATGTTTTATTTCACAATAGAAAAACATTTAGTCCTGATGAAATAAAGAAGTTAAGCCTTTCAACTATAAACCACACTAATATACCTTAATTAGATAGGCAGAACTTTTATTCTACTAAAGAAATTGAAATCTCTATGGTTGGCAAATAGTAACTGACGATAAGCAATCAGATTGCATATAGTATCACTTACACTCATTAAGACTTTAACTGTTTGAATAATGAAATAGAAGGTAGGTAACAATTGACAAATGAAACAGATAGCAGAAAATAAATAACTGAAAAATGAAATCTAAAATGCAATTTTAGTTGTCATGATATTAGTGGTATTTTTTGTAAGTTAAATAAATAATACTACATACCCAAGACTCACCTTACATAATTTCTGCTGTGTTTGCACATTTGTAAACAAATGCTTCTTTAATTATTACCTAGAAAAAACTTCACTGACACACTGCGATTCAGCCTTCATTGTTATTATTTTCAAACTTCAATTTGTTCAGTTGCAGTTCATTGCGAGTATTTTGATTTGTACAATTCAATATTCACTTGTTTTAGATACCTCATAACACATCTCATATTGTTTAAAAATTTCCTCTAAACTTAAGCAACACTTCATTCGCTTCTTATAAATTTTAATAATTCATAACCTTAAAATAAAGAAAGACATTAACCACACATCAAATACTACTAACAATAAATATGACCACTGATAAACAATTGGGTAAAAAACATCAACAACAGCTCTAATGGATTTAAGTAAAGGTATATAGTTTAAGCTTAAACACTAAAGCCCATAATACAACATAAACTATGGCTCATACACAAATTTCCTTACATTATTTAAAAAATCTTGAGTTTTGAGGTCATAAACTAACCTGCATAATTATAATTCTATATAACAATACACACTTCTTGAAACACGTTGAAATGAATAAATTTACATTTAAAAAATAACTGAGAACATCCTTCAATTCATAAGATAACTTAACGGATTTATTTCATATTAAATAACACCTAAGCATTTGCAACCTCTGTTGTTACACGTTCCACCAGAACACTTCTACATTATGACCTAATCGCTTTAGAGTAAAACATATGAAAGATATTTAAGTGAAATCTGTAAAGTGGTTTAACTTTGGGCCATTATTGTATATCATGTTCAAGTACTTGGCCCATTCACAACAAACAGAATAACAAACCTCAAACAAGTATGGCGGAAAAAGAATTTTACTAGGTTAGTTCGAGTTTTATTTTCTATGCATAAATTCTGGACTTCGTAGAACTATTGGCACACAAGTATATATTTGCGTAAATTGATACTATACAATTATTCACAAAAATAAATTTATAAATTAACAAAAGCGCCAAATAACAAAGTTCATCGACTGTTGAGCCACTGTTCCCCCCAAATTTGAGTTAATGGTCATACACTTTAAACGATTTATATTTTCCTGTTACATTTAAAATTATATATTAATTATTATTACATAAATGTTATTCAAATAAAATTACTTTGATAAAGAAAATACATCTATTCTAGAAAAACATAGAGATTTAAAGATTCTCAATAAACCTAAAATGTTCCTTTAATTGTAAACGTCATTCATTCTTGATTAAATTATATTTATCAATTGTATTATTAATACTACTGTTAAAGCTTCAAAAACATCATAACTAACTATAGAATGGTTATAAAAATATATTTGAATATCATAAGTTTTAAAAATAGGTAATATTTTACTAGTTCACTTCAATCATCTGAGTATTGGTGTATAATATTCATGATGAGATAAAGTGGCTGGTTTTTGTATATTATGCTGAAACCTTCATCAGTACACTATATTTCCGTTGGAATTAGTGCGAGTCAATTTGTTTCTTTATTTTGATGTTTTAATGCAGTGATCCATTTCTTGGAAGTTTTTGAATCCCTCCAACCTAAAAACTTTTTGGGTTCTAAAAATAATACTTTTTGAAAAGCAGCTTCGAAATTCTCGAACTATTTTGACTTTAAACATTTATACTTTTGATTAACATCGAAAGAAGTTGAGACCTATCAACTATGAGGTTTGAAAACTTTAATTCATTCGGCATCATATTAAATGGTTATTTCGTCAATATTCTATTGAACTTTGACAAACATTAATACAAGATTGTCATAAAATATTCAAAACTTTATTTGAGTAATTTAGAATCGAATTTCGTTATGTACATTTTTCTAAATTTTGTAGCACTACAGAAAGACTACAAAATATTTATGGGTGAAAAATATTCAGGACGCTGTCATTATAAGGTTTTTATTAGTTCCGACGTTTAAGGTTATTGTTAAGCTAATTATTAATGTAAGGAAGATTGGTCGCTACAATGACCTGGATGGTAGAAATTCATTTTTTGTTCTTTCTTCCAATCTTCACTACCACATCGCTTACTTAGTAGCTAACTCTCGTTTTTAGAAGATTGATAGTGTTACATAAACACCATCAACCGTGTTCGGCCAACATGTGTACGTCATAATTGTTGCCTCAACATTCCTCAAGAATAATTTTCTTGGCCACATGGGCCATATCTTGTCTCCAACATACAACGGCAATTGAGACTTCTCTTTCATTCATAAACTTTTTATTTGTATGTGTAAGAACATTTTCATTTGACATTCGGGGAATTGTTATTTCATTTCACGAATATCATAAATTTAAATTATGTTTCAAATAGTTAAATAGGCTGTTTAGGTTCTTTATTTCCTTTTTTTGGTAAACTTTTAAATACACACACACACACACACACACACACACACACACACATATATATGTATATATATAGACCGGGGCAGCCGGACTGACTATACGTTAATGAAAGACTGAAGACCCGAATTATCCATTGTTCTTCTCCATCCGATCAGCCACAAGTCGAGTTCCTGATCATCGAGATCTCATGTAACACCTCTCCTCTGCTCTATTCCGCAGTATATCGTCCTTCTCTTGTTCCATTCGATCCGTCTTTCGAAGCTTCCCTCTTCAACTTTGTTCCCCTTTATTCTAAAATTATCATTTCTGGTGACTTAAACACTAATTTCCTTTCCGACTCCAGCGACAAATCATACCTAGAAAACCTTTTTTTTCTCTTCATCTTTTCGTCGTTCCTTTTTCTGCTACGCATCACATCGCAAGGTCCGACATCCGACATGGAGGTCCGACATGGACCTCTGCATTATTAACTCCGCTCAAAACCTTCTTTCCTCTACCCAATTACCAGTTTCCTTTTTTTCGTTGCATGAAATAATCCAAATATTCTACAATATCAAAACTCCTCCGATACTACCTAGAACCATAACTTTCCGTAACCTTAATGGCCTTACTCGGAAAAAAATCTTACTCTCCCTGGAATCCCTAGATTGGAACAGAATATATTCCTGTTCCTCTATTGATTCCATGGTTGACATTCACACCTCCAATCTTATTAATATCCTTGATGCCCATGCCCCTCTCAAAACCTCTACCTTTCGTCGCCTTCCTGCTGCTTGATTGTATTAGGAAATTAAGGATCTTCAGAAGAGGCGTGATGTTGCCTCTTGATTATTATAAGCTCCCGATACCAACTAAGATTCGATAAAACACTAATATCAGGACAGGAGTATCGGTCGGTACCAACCAAGTATAAATCAAAGTATTGGCTCCAAAGCATCAATACTTTAGCGTACTCTATTTATTTATTATTGTTTCTTTTCTTTAATAATCAGATTACTAGAAGATTCCGGTACCACCCTGATATCAGAACAAAAGTATCGGTACCAAACAAGTATAAATTAAAATACCGGTTCCAAAGTATCGATACTTAAGAATACTTTGATTACTCCGGTACTGATATTAGTGTAGTATCTAATCCTAGTTGGTACCCGAAGCTCATAATAATCTGATTATTAACGAAAAAAAGTAATAATTATTAAATAGACTACTGCATACATACATACATAGATATACATACATCCCGTAACCGATACTGGGCTTCTTCCAAAAGCTTTCGCCAATACGATCAGCTACAGCAGTTCTCCAGTTTTGGACTCCCAGTAGAGCCACCGATGTTACTGAGTCCCATCTTACATTTGGCCTGCCAATCTTTCTTTGTCCATGCATCTTTCTGGAAAGCATCTTCCTGGGTATCGCCGAATCATCCATACGTGCGTGCGATCGTGCCCAGCCCATCGAAGTCGTCCTATCTTGATAAACTTGACCAAGTCTATATCCTTATAAAGGCCAGCGAGTTCGGCACTTCTCCTTCTTCTCCAAATTTCACCCTCTCTAAGAGAACCAAAAATCCTTCTCAAGATTGATCTCTCAAAGATCAGAAGTATATTTTCAGCTTGCTTCTTAAAGGCCAATTTTTCTGATCCATAAGTTAAAACAGGGCGGACCAAGGTTTTATGGAGAGAGATCTTGGTCCTGTTAGAGAGGAACCTGCTTCTAAAATGCTTCAGAAGGACAAAGTAACTGCGTCTCCCCGTTGCTATCCTCTTGTTGACTTCTTGAGATATGTCATTTTCGGAGATGATCTCAGACCCGAGGTAGACAAAGCTGCTTACCTTTTCGAAATTATATGGTCCAGCCACAAAAGAATCGGTCCCTGGCCCATCTCCTAGAACTCTCATATACTTGGCCTTAATGTTAATTGGCATTAATGTTAAGTTTCTTTGCTGCATCTTCTATGGCCAAGAATGACTATCTTAATGCACCTAACGATCTGGCGGCGATATCAAAGTCGTCAGTGTACTCAGGAAGCTGAACGGTAGGTACTGTTAAGAAGTGTTATGTGGAGTTAGATTCCGGACATATGCACTGCTTTCTCTGCAGCGAAGTTAAAAATAAGACAGGCTCTGTCTTACACCGCAGTTAGTATGAAAGTCTTCCGAGAAGTCACTACCAACTCGTACTGCACACTTCTAGCCAGACATCGTCATTTTCAGGAGACGTATCAGTTTAATTGGAGCATTCATTTCCAACCGGGCCTGATAGAGCTCTGGCCGAGTTACACTGTCGTAGGCGGCTTTAAAATCAACGAAGAGATGATGGATAATTGTTCTATACTCTTTACATTTCTCCAGCATCAACTTCAGTGACAACAGTTGGTCCAATGTGGACCTCCTTCGCCTAAATTCCGCTTGATATTTGCCTATCTCTCTCTTGGCATGAGGAACTAGTCTCTCAAATAGGATGGTAGGGAGAACGTTTTAGCACATGAGAGGAGCACTATGCTTCGATCACAGGCGGATCTACGGTGGGGTGCTTTCGGGCTGAAGCAAAATGGTAAAATATAACCATGTTTTACAGAAAGAAATACTAAAAATATCTCTTAAAGTATTCTTGTTCGTGTAATTACATTTAATAGGACTTCAAGAACAACTTAAACACCATTTCATATAGGTAGTTAATTTCTTTCTTTCTTTCTTTTCAAATTAATTATCGTTACATATATAAAAAAAAATCTTTCAGGCTGAAGCCCCCCCCCAAAATTAAATCCTGCATCCGCTAGTGGCTTCGATAATTGTCGCAATACGATTGGTCCCCTTTCTTGAACAGTGGGTTGATAATTCCTCATTTCCAGTCCTCAGGCATCTTCTCTTCCTCCCTTTACGCTAGTAGTAGTACGATACTTTAAAGGCATCAATATTTTTCTTTCCATATTATACTGGTATCGGCTAACCCTAAGCGTGAGAGTGTATATGGGGAGAGCGCGCCATAACTTTCCTAACTTGCTCAGTTTTGTGGATAGAGGCATTGTCCATCACTAAAATACTATTGCTGAGGGAAATCTGATCAAATTTGTGTTGCAATTTAATAAAAACCTGACCAAATAAATCACTGTTGCGAGTCCAAGAAGCTATAACAGAAAAGTGAACGACTTGTTGATTGTTGATAGTCAAGACGAGAGTCGTTTTGCACCATCGTGCTGTAGGCATATTCACAATAGCTTTCGTATTAGCTTATATGTTAATTCCAAATTCATCGATGAAGACAATGAGAGAGCAATTTTGAGGGGTATTAATAGACTGTAATCTCTTTGTATAGTCAATGTATATAGTATGTTAATCTTATTAAGATAAAACAGTTAGCGTATTGTGATGAATAATAAAATAAACTTTAATGTTCTAAAACTTTTTTTTT